TTCTTGGTTGCCCGCGTGTGAGAGACTGTCCCGGGTGGGAAGGTCTCCCGGTTGGCTCAGCGCTGCCAGGACTGCGCTTAGGGGTGATGGGCCCCTTCTTTACCCTTCTCCCCTCCTCTTTTTTTTCATATCCCCCCGCCCGAGGCATTAAGTAGGCTTAATCTGCCAGCTCCATTTGAACCTCAATGGGAGTAAAAACAACAATTTACTCTCCTGCCACTTGCAGACAAAAGCGCTGGTTTAAAAAAAAGAGCATCGAAGGGTGGAGGATGGGGGGGAGAAAAAAATCCTTTTTAGGGATGTAGATGTGCGTGTGAAGGAGCAGGCCCGGGAGCCTGGAGGCTTTGACGCCCTTCTTGGTGTGGGGACGCGTGTGCAGGACACCCCTAGGGCCCACTGCGGCTTCCCTGAGGAGTGGAGGGGCCGTTCGCTGCTGGAGGCACTAAATTTCCTGCCCGACGTCGGTGGGGGTGGGCACCGGGAGGGTCTCCCAAGCTGACGGGGCAGGTTTTGCGGTTGTCAGAGGGAAGTTTCGGGGCGCGGCCGGGCAGCCAGGTGCTCCCCCTCCCCCGTGTGCAGAGATGTCCCAGCTCCGGGGGATGCCTGAGGGCTCGGAAGGCTGAGGGAGCCGCGCCAGGCCCGACACGTCGGCCCCACCGACGGGAGGGGAGGGGAGGATGCCTCGCCAGGAGGAGCGGCGTGGATAAGCCAGGGAAAAAAAGAGAAGAAAATCGGGGGGAAAAAAACCGAAGCCCTGTGGAGGATGGAGCAAGTCCGGTCACCTAGGAAAAAAGGAGAAGGGTGGAAAAGTAACTCCCCCGGGAGGGCTGAGCGCTCGCTTAGCGGCACATTGTTAAGCAAACGAAGCGCTCCACCTAAGAAAGTACCGAAGTTTTAAGATGGTCATTGTTTTGTCCCGTTGCTCAAGTTCTTGCACAAGACGTTTTGGCTCCTGCTACGCTCATATTGCCGCTCGCCCACTTCTATCTCGGAGATTATATTGGGTTTGTTCAGGATTGTTTTGGGTTAGTTGGGTTTTTTGGGTTTGTTTTTGGTTGTTGTTTTGATTTTGATTTTTTAAAGACCAATAGCCAACAGTGCCGAAAGGAGCAGAACAGAAAGAAAAAAAAGCTTTTCAAATATCCACCAAAAAGATCACATCAAACCCAAAGCGCAACAGAAGCCTCCGCAGACAGTAACCTCGTTAGAGCAAGACCCGAGTCTCATTTCTCCCCGCTTTGGTTTCTTTTAAACCTCGAGGGAAAGGAGGAGGAAGGGAAAAAAAAAAAAGATAAAGAGGTGGCTTCACGTCTAGCCCCAAACTCTGCAGGTGAAGGGACGGTGACTCTTTTTGATTTCCCTGGCTACTTTCTTCCCCGCTAAAAGGCAGAGGCACGGGGGGAGCGGCGGCCGGCAAGCCCCACTGGCAGGGAAGGAGGCAGGCAAGGCCCCCTGCCCCCCCGGGCAGGAGTTCGGCGGGTTGGAGAAAGCCTCTTGCTTTCTTATTATTTATTTCAATTTATTATTTATTTTTTTTGCGGGTGGGTTCTTTCTACCTGTGTCCATCGCTGCAGGTTGTTGTGCTGGCGAGCAATTGGGCTGTTGTTGATATGCTAATGAGGCGATTAGGCTGTGGGTAAAGAGCTGGAAAAGGGAAAAGTTTCCACCATTAGAGGGAGATCTCCGAGCGCGGACGGGAGCGCAGCACAGCCTCCGTCAGCCGCGCTCCCCACGCCACCGCAGGGAAAGGCAGGGAGAAGCAAATCCTCTCTCACGCCAATCCATGAAAATGCTTTGGAAACTGACGGATAATATCAAGTATGAGGAATGTGAGGTAAGCGCTTTCCCCGGCCGGGGCAGACCCTGCTGTCCCACAGCTGCGAGCGGGAGCCTGCAGCATCCCTCCGCCTCTCCATTTCGTTTAGGAAAACTTGTGCTCCTTCGCCGGGTTTCCTGGCGGTCCTGCAGCTGGAGAGAGGGGCTGAGGTCCTTCCCCAGGAACTTCGGGGCTTGTTGAAACCCAGCTTTGTCGGAAGTGTATGAGGAGAGGCAAACAGGATCCAGCAGCAGTCTGGTCTATAGGTAGATCTTCCGTAGATAAGGCTCTGTAGGATGCTACACTCATCCACATGGATGGACGGATGGACTGATGGATGGATAGATGGCTGGCTGAATGAATGGACGAATGAATGACTGAATGAATGAAAGGGCAAAGAGACAAAGGGAAGAGAGTTATTCTTACACGCCAGGTACCCGAGGCATCCCAATAAATTGGTTCAGGACGGATGCTTAAATTCAGCCTTTTCGATGTAGCTGCGTGTTCAACAAACCAAGCTGCAAAAATCTGTAGGGGTCAGCTGCCGAACTGAAACCAGCGGTGTTCCCCAGCCTCCCCATTTTCAGGGCCACACTCCCACGGCTTTGAGCAATAATATTTTGACAGCTTGGAAAAAAAACAAAACAAAAAACCCAAACCAAAATAACTCAAAATCCACCTAATTTGGTTTGAAGCCGTGCTCTCAGCTCTCTCTGCGTCTGCGTGTGAATCCATATTTTTAGAAAAGAGGCGAGTGTCCTTTAATCTGACAAAAAGGAGAAGAAGAGGAAAAAGAAGAGCGATGCCTAGGACCCGTGCCTAAGTCTCAAACCAACGAATACTATTGTCACTCGCTCCGCAAAAGTTGCCTGTGCAGTGCCTTTAAACCGCTCAATAAAGGACTCGACTTTGCAAATGAACGCAGTTATCTGGTCGTGAGCAACGTGGGAAGGTTCCCCCCAGCCTCGGCGGAGCCCTACAGACATGTATGTCTGGGGCAAAGGCGGGGGGGGCACACACACACACAACCCCCCCCCTGCCGCTGCTTTGGGCGATGCTGTAGCTAAGGGAAGGGACCGAGGACTCGCCAACTCACCGCCAACTAAATGATTTGGTGGTCTAGTCCTGGATCGAGGAGTTTGGGATAAAGCTGTCTCCCGGTACGAGAGCCTGGCTTTTAGATCCACTTGCTGGCAGATGCTTGATTTCTGGGAATGAGGTGTTAGGGCTGGGTTTGTTGGGTTTTTTTATTTGTTTTGGGTTTGTTTTTTTAATATATATTATTGTTGTCGTTGTTGTTGGTTGGGCCTTTTTTGTTGCTCCTGTTTGGGGTTGCTTGGGTTTTTTTTAGCCGGAAAAGAAAATATAGATATATTGCTCAGCTGGATTTCAGGAGAAAAGGGTGTCTCTTCCCCCACCCCTTCCCCCAAGATTGGTGTTCAAGCGTGCACACGTGCGAGCGTGTGCATTTCATTGCAAATGGCTTTTGTTGCCTTGTGCTGGTGGGACTTCTCACCGAGGTGCTACCAAACAAGGAGAAGC